CGGCTAAATGTTCGATACGAATTATTTGTAAATTATTGCTGGCGGCCATTTTATTTGGACGAATTCAAGAAACTGACCGGAAACTTTTTCCTCAGAAAATCGAACGATTTTTAAAAAGAAAAAACATTTTTTTACAATGATGTTTATGCTGTACACGACCCGAGAGCCACTCAAGTTAGACGATTACAGAGAAAGAAGCACAGTTTATGCGGATATGTGGCGAAGATAACGGTTAGCCTTAGAAATGAACAGGTTAAGATTCTAGTGATAGGGAAGCAATCTCTTGGGAGTCAGTTCCACAAAGCAGTGGTTCGTAGGAAGAAGCTGCTCAAGTGGAACGTACATGTGACTAATGGAATATGAAGGCAATGAGGATGGTTCGCTGCAATGTGTGTGGCATGGCGGGTTTTAGTCGTGAAGTTTAGAACTTGTGGAACTAAGTGATTGTTATGGGGTCCACCCCTTTTTCATACAAGTGGACTCGACCAGTACTTGTACTACTGCCGGTGAATACCTGGGAGTCGGAAGTGAGAGTGTGAGGTAACCGTTTTGTAGGAGTCACAGTTGCGACCACGTAGTCTCAGAAGGAAGTCATACTTCGATATTGAATTTCCCAGACTGTATATATATTATTATTGCTACTAACCGCATTTCTGGATCTACTAACCGTATTACCAATTGTATTATTACGTCAATACATTTATTTGCTATATTTCATTCCTGCGTTTGTCATTCATTTTGAGACTGGATTTTATCCCGGAATCCACAACAAGGATGTAGTTCGTCTGAGCACTTTTCATGGAAAGGGGTTTGTAGAATGGAAAATAATTCATCAGCCACCAGGCCACGGGCGCGATTTTTGGACTCTACTGAGGCTGGAAAGTGAAAACTGGTCAGTCCCTGCCTATATACGGCAGCATTACTCCATCTTTGGGCCTCGTCGTGTTCATTGTAAAGGTCGAGGATAGCAGGGGGAGTTAGATACTTATAGAAGCAGTAGAGTGAAACGACGAGTTTTCCAGCATCTTTAGCGATGAATCGTATGTATGAGCGCAACTTGATGTCTGACTTGAGTTTAAGTCCCAATAGGCGCCCAAGATGTTCATCGTGATTAGTGATAGTTCCGGGTTCGATCAGCGATGATGGAATATAACTAGTTTGGTTTTCAAGACATTGAATGTAACCAGCCAGTTTCCCTCGACTGAGATGTTAGACTTAGATCAGAGGAGATAATCAGCTACCACCAATCTCTGCTCGTCTAGGCTTCTAGAGGTTCAACGTTGTATCATCAGCATAGATATCCACAAATGACCGGAGTATACATTTAAGCAGATCATTTATGTAAAGCAAACTAGAAAGCGGGTTGTTCCGAGAAGCGACCCCCGCCCCTGGGCAACGCCTAGCTTGATCGCTAGGGCCTCAGAGAACTGGCCGTTAACTACCTTCTAGGATTTACTCGTTAGGAAGGACTTCATAAATTGAGAAGATTCTTCTTGTGATTCCATAGTTAGAATCAAACATTTCTGAAATGCAATAACTCTCGTAATAAAGGTTACATGTAAAAGTGATATTGAATTAAATATTGACACAATTTATTTTTTTTAAATTAAAATGTTCGCTCTAAGTTAGGAAATTCGCCGAATCATGTCTATTTTATCATCATGTCTACTTTATAATAGTTGCATTAAATGAAAAAGCAACAAACGTCGCCACCTTCATTATGCGTTGTCTCTTCAGAAGTTAGGCAATGTGGAATTTTTTTTTAATTCCTTTTCTTTATTTGTAAACGGCCATGTTTTTTTTTGTGATTTTTTTGAAAAACAGTGGAGTGGTCCACGTTGCCGTCTCCACAGTTTTTTGAATTCAGAATTATCTTTCTTCTAGACTGACTGTCACCTATTTAACCCATAGCTAAGGGGAGTTGGAGTATGCCTTTTTCTAAGGGTAGTATTGCGAAGTGAATACAGTAAACTAGACCGGAACTTGAACTCGGCTCTTCGATTTCACTTCCCGCGCCGATAACCGTTATGCTTCCCGCGCGTTCTCAGTGCGTGGTTATTCCGTCAAATATCCTCGTTTTAGATTGTTTGTTTTTTGTTTTGTTTTTTTGTTTTTTTAGGTTTCACAAAATTTTACCCTGTGTATGCTTCACCCATTGTCGTCTTAAACGAAAAAAAAAAGACAGGACGTGTTCGAGATGTGCTTTTATTGACGAATATCATGGGGAGAGCATGTGACAAATGAGGATTTTTAAAGGAGGATAGAAACTACAAAGACTGTTGTTAACCGACAGAAACACATATCGAGAAAAGAAAGCTCGGAGAATTTAATATACACAATGGGGGGGGGTACAAGTTGCGGATAACATAACTGAGAAATTTCAGCGAATAAATAGAGGAACAAACAGAATAAAGATAAAAAGAGGGTTCATACTCGAGCAAGTATTGCAGAGAAAAACAAAATATAGGAAGCTGTGGAGAGCTATGATAGCTCACATCCTGAAGGGATATAGCACATAGAAAGAAAAAGAACGAACCTACTTGACATGTTTGAACAAATGGTGATTTTCTAAGCGTAGACCGAAGTCTAGGGCACCCAGTAAGGATCGAACACGCTACTCAGTCGCAATTGTTTTAGCTTGTTAACCATTACACCACATCGGAGCAAAAAGAAGGAGTAAGATGTATCACAAAGATAAACAGGGATTATAAAGGTACAAGTACTTCTGAGAAAGACAAAAGATAGGAAGCTGTGGAGAGCGATGGTCGATCACATCCTGAAGGCGTATAGCACATAGAAAGAAAGAGAAGAAGCCTACTTGACAAGTACCACAAAAATAGTGGTCATAAAGGTGCAAGTACTGCTGAGAAAAATGAAAGATAGGAAGCTGTGGAGAGACATGGTCGCTCACAAGGGAATAAACCTACTTCACAAGTTTGATCAAGTGGAAGGAGTAATAAGTATCACAATGCTAAAGACGTGTCATAAAAGTGCAAGTCTGGATGAGGGCAACTAAAGATAGGAAGATGGGGAGAACTATGACCGCACAAACTGTCATTAAAGAAAGAGAGTGTGTGTGTGAGAGAGAGAGAGGGAGAGAAAGAGAGCATGAGAGAGAGAGAGAACGCTAGGGATATCCTTGAATGTTGTGGAATCATGTTCTGGAAGCACTTCTCATATGAGCCACGACCAGTACTTCGGCCTGTATGCTCTGGTTGTCTCCTTCCGATCTCTACGAAGAACTCGTGACCTGACGTCGAAATTTTCACATGCTCTGGAATTATTTGTTCTTTCCTGATTAACACTAATTCAATCACCAGACGCACATAAAAGCAGATGCTCCAGAATACAACAGACACTCGAGGAAGAAAGGACGGATAATACACAATCAAAAACGTTGCGAAGAAAAAAGACACCAGAAACGAAGAATGCAATAACAGACAACAATTACGATACCACATCTAAGACATGAAGCCTCCATATTGCGCCATTAACAAAATAAATTGACGTATGTAAGGCAGCGACTATACAATGATCTAGGTTATGATGGTAGTTAGTGCGAAGGGATGCTGAGCAATAGTCAGAATTAACCAGTTTTCACTCCAAACAAGGTGATAAAACCACTATGATGCACGGGGGTTACTGAGAGTGAAAGAAAATGAGGAAACGATTACTGAGGCAAAAAGAGCGTAAACGAATATGATTCAAGGAAATAGAAGATGACGATTGACGTTGCATTTAAAATTTTGAAGATCGTAGTTGAAAGTAAAGCAAGAAGGCAAAAGAGAGTTCCACAAGCGAGATTAATGCCACAAAACGCCTCAACATATTGAGAAACCACCTCACAAAATTCAAAGAAAACTGTTTCCCGGGACTGGGCATCTCACTTTTTGGGTAGCGCACTGTCCGAAGACAAAGACACAACTGAATGGTGCTCAGTCTGAATACAGGGATACAACTGAATTGCGCCCTGCCCAAACACAATAAAGCAACTGAATTGCGCCCTACCCAAACACAATAAAGCAACTGAATTGCGCCCTGCCCAAACACAATAAAGCAACTGTATTGCGCACTGTCCGAACAAAAAGACACAAGTGAATTGCGCACTGTCCGAAGACAACACACAACTGAATTGCGGTTTGTCCGAAGGCAAAGACACAACTGAACTGCGATCTGTCTGAAGACGGACACAAATAATTTGCGCTCCATCCTAAGAGAGGGACACAGATGAATTTCACTCTGTCCGAACACAAAGACACAACTGAATTGCCCTCTGCCTGGAAAGAGGGATAGAACTGAATTCCGCTCTGTCCGAACACGCAGAAAAAACTAAATTGCGCTCTGTCCGAACACAAAGACACAACTGAATTGCCGTCTGTCCGAACACAAAGACACAAGTGAATTACGCGCTGTTCGAAGACAGGGACACAACTGAATTTCGCTCTGTGTCAAAAAAGCGACACGACTGATTTGCGCTCTGTCCGAACTCAAAAACACAACTGAATTACATCTGTCCGAAGACAGGACCACAATTGAATTGCGGTCTCTACGAAGACAGGTGCACAACTGAATTGCACTCTGTCAAAAGACAGGGACATAATTAAATTGCGCTGTGTCCGAAGACAAAGACACAGCTGAATTGCGCTGTGTCCGAATACAGGGACAAAACTGAATTGCGCTGTGTCCGAATACAGGGACAAAACTGAATTGCGCTGTGTCCGAATACAGGGACAAAACTGAAAGATGACAAACGTATCTCGCGAGTCCGACTCGCAATATTTGCCTATTATCTTTTGCCTCTTCCCTGGTTGCTTCGGCGCTTTATATAGTCTCTATACCTTACCTATGCTAATTAGGCAGTCATTTATATATATATACTAGTTTGAACGAGCTGTCATTTTTGACGGTTATTGTTGGAATATTTTAATATTGTGATACAATTAAATAAAGGTTTTTGAACAATGTATTGAGATTAAATAAAACGGAGATTATTAAAACACTTACAGCACCTGGTATTCCAAAGCGGTTATCCATCTAAGTACGGAACAGGTTTGACGTTGCTTAACTTCAGTGATTGAACGAGAACCGGTGTGTTCAGCGTGAAAATTATTGGATTGAGGAATCGGGTTCGAATTCCAGTCGAGTTCATTACATTTACTTTACGAATCCATATCTTTTCCGTCCCCAGCTATGGGTAAATAGTAGGACAGTAGGTTTTATTGTCGGTTTAGGAGAAGGGAAACTGTATGTAGCCCTGGCGAAGCACATACCATACAGCTAAAAAAAGGATCGTTCGTATTGAACGATGATCTTGACGACGCTTGAATCATTTTTATAATAAAAACAAGAACAAAAAAAAGCAAAAAACAAAACAACGGAGACGCAGAATTCGCAACTAAAATAGAAGCCAATGAAACATTTGATTAATTCATTTATGATATAATGGAATATGCATACACCTGTGTTCCCACTCATTGGAATATGATTGGCTGGTGTCTGTCATAAATACCGACGGACCTGTAGGTGAGTAAAAAGCCTTAGTCTGAGAGCTAAGTCTATAACGACGCCCATTGGACTACGCCATTGATCTACACTTCTTACCTGCGACTACGACGCGTACCAATCGATTACTGCTACCGTATTCTACTTGGTTATAGTAGCCAAAACCACTTAGCTAATTCGTTCAAATATATCCCTTTCCGGGACATATTAATTTAAAAAATAATTTCACCCGCAAGCAAGGCGATAAAGCCACTAAGATGCAAATGGTTAACGAGAGTGAAAGAAACTGAGAAAGCGATTGAGATGAAAGGGCACTAAAAGAACTGGATTTAAACATACAGAAGATGACAATTGACGTTGTATTTGAAGTTCATAATTGACAGGAAGGCAAGAAGTCACTTGCTTACTGACATACATGTCAACTTTGAAACTGTCCTTACGTTATTAATAACTGTATAGTATTACGAATTGAGAAAAAGGACATCATTAGTGTGCATTTATCAATGATATAAACACAGTTTCAAACTTGACATTTGTAAATAAAAACAAAGTACAGATAACACTTTAAGAAGTCAGGGACTGATTTCAAGACTATTTATATTATGAACAATAACCCCCCTCTTCTAAAATGATAAAAACAAATAGTTTTTGATTCTGAAAAATGTGGCTTGATGAAGTTCAAATGAATACTGATCTATAGAAATTATTCTCCCTAAAAATTCTTCCGTATTTTTTACGAACGGACCAGTCAATTTAATGAGTGCTGTAAAGTTTGGTCTTACTGTCTACTAGCTGTTTGCCAATAATTAACAAGTTAGGCTTTTTTTTAATCTTTTCTGGGTGCTTTAAACCTGGGGCCTTGTGCCAGACTAAGTTAAGTTGTTAATGCATCGGGGATTTCATTGTGGATAAATTGTGAGCAGAATAATTATTCGCGTCAGCAGTGAATGCAATTCTCACTAGCACGAAGGTACAAGTCATCGTGAACGAGCGTTTCATTGTAACGGCCTTGTTCAATCTGCTGTTCAAGCCAAATTACACACACACATACATACACACACAGGTGGGCGGGAGAGACACGTACACACACAGGTGGGCGGGGGAGACACGTACATACACAGGTGGGCGGGGGAGACACGTACACACACAGACTCTCTCTCTCTCTCTCTCTCTTTCCTTAGAAACTTTAATTAAGATCCGCTCAATATACATTGTAGTAAATATCACCGGCTGACTTTGTTGGTGTTGACTTTGTTGGTGCTGACTTTGTTGCCGCCCTAGAAGTAGAAGAGAGATATACTCGGAGACGAGTGGCCAGACATTATACAGTCCTTCAGGTATCTCACGATGGCAAACTAACCTTACAGATCTTTACTTTTTTATTTTTTTGCTTATTTGGGCCTTGTGCCAAACGATGTTAGGCTTGGCATAAGGACGCCTATTGTAGCAGTGACCTGCACAATATCTATCAAATATCTGTTGCGCAAATGTTGGAATCTATAGTGGCAATGTGCAGGCCAAACAGCAAAAACATATTTTCAAAATGCAAATACAATGATTTTTCAGCGCCTGCTGCATCCCAGATAGACCCACATATCTTGCAGCAGCTGCTGTATAAAAGACACTCGTGGCAGGGGTAGAGAGGGATAGGGTTTAAGGCATTTGCAAATACGGTAGCAGCAAACAATAACGATGATGTGCTAGTCTTTTTTTTTTAATCTTATTTTGGTATGTTTTTTTAGTGCGTTATTGCTGATTTTGATGGTGTTGCAGTGTCAGCACTGGCGGAGCGGTGGAGGGTGATAATGCAGCATGCTGTTCATTTGTTATGTGTATCTATGGCAGGAATTCTTGACTGAATCGTAATATCATAACCGCTTTTCCCTGAGGATTCGAGTAGATGCATTTTGTGCTCTTGTTTCAGCGTTCTTACCCACTAGTGCTTCTGCTACCTATCTAGAGATTCTTGACAAAAATCAAAAGAAAAAAAAAATCTGCAATATTATGAATGCAGATCTGGCGTATCAGCTTCAATCCCTTCCCCACCTCCGTAACATGGCTTCCCTGCTTCTTTTCTATAAATATCTTCATTGCATCGCTTCTGAAGAGGTTTCCTGATTGGTATCCCGACTTTACGAATGGAAGTGCAAAACTAGATTGGCAACTATGTCTCACTATTTGACAGTATAAATTGTTTGATGTAACCGTAAGTTATAATTTAACAGTGTTCTTCTCTCGCACTTCTCACTTTTGGAACTCTTTTCCAGATTTTTGCTTTCCTGTCAAACATTTAAATGCAACGCCAATCGTCATCTTCCGTCTCCTTAAATCCTGCTCTTTTATTGTCCTCTCACTTCAATTTATTTTTTTCAGTTTCTTTCATGCTCAGTAACAATTTGCGTCTTAGCGGCTTTATCGCCTTACTTCGGGGAGGGGGTGATTAAAATGTTCTTGCCGTATCTTCCTGTAACTTTTCTTCAGAGACGCTTGTAATTTAACCTAGTTTTAATTCTGCGACTGCTTCTCATTTCACAGATCAATGTCCACAAGTAAAGGCTGATATCTGTTTGGCCTCCAGTCTTCGGTTTGGCGGTAAACTAAATCCGAAAGCAAGGCCTCTGATCAGGAGATTGGAGGTCTTGAGCAGCGTGGAACCATCTCTTAATTGTTGTTGTTCCCAGCTCCACCTTGACCTGGAGTGGTAGCACCTGTTAGGGTCCCAGCTATGGGTAAATAGTGAACCCTCAATCAAAAACAAAACATTATGAAAATATAAAAATACATATTTATAGTAAAAATATCATCAATACAGATTTATAGTAAAATGACCAACGATATATTTTATCTGTAATTGAAAGTATTCAAGTGCGTTCAAATTATATTTAGTTAAAGCTATAAAATTGTGTTCAGATTTAGATTTCAGCATTAAACAACCCATAGAGGTGTTGATATGCTGCTAAACAAAAAAAGAAAAAAAGAAAAAAACAAGCAACATCACATTATTGTGTACAATATCCGACAATATCTTAAATCAAACTGTATTCCAAAATATAACTTCAACAAAACAACAACATAAAACACGCGTATCACTGTTTGTAGTAATTATGTCCGCACAATCATGTATATGGACAAAAGCTGAGTATTATCTACCACGTATTCAATTGTGAAAGCAGAATAACATATATCGTATTTTTATTACTTCAAATCTCGGCATTAAATGATGCATGAGGAGCTGATATGCCGTTAAACGACCAAATCAAATTTGGCCTTAAAACTACTTCAAAGAGGAAGAGCCAAGCAAATAAGAAAGAACTATTTTTAGATTTTGCAATAAATACCTTCTTATATATTGATTTTTTTTAAGCGTAGCTTAGATGTGGTGCAAAGGCAAAATTATAGGGCAATCAGTGAGAATCGAACACAAGATACAGTCATAACTGTCTTAGCGAGACACGCTTGCTAACCATTACACCACGCCAATTCCTACTTATATAATAATGTCTATTAAACACACAAACACACGCACACACACACGAATATATATTATCATCTGAATCCAACATAAACAAACTAGAAAAATGATACGCTTACATACATAAAACAATATTTAGTTTTTTTTCCGTTAGGCTTGAAATTCGTAGATTTCTTGAAGCTTCGAAAGGGCCAGTCATCTCTCTTTGAATTCAGAACGCCGTAAATTATACGAACGTTGTGTGACAAGTCAAATGCACGTGAAGTCTGATTAACAAGTGAAAATCAAACTACACAAAAATAAAAAAAAAAAATACCAGAATTCCTTCGTTTCTTTTCTATATTTCATTCTCTGATGAAGCCTTAATAAAACTGAAACAAGTTAGAATTATAAAGGTTTCCTATTTGTTCTTTATCTTATCATACCTACTCATCTACCTACTTATACATTACCGACAAACTTATCCATTAATGAAAGTAAATAAATATTCTATTCATAAATAGGATGTCCGGCTGGTGCAATAGTGATCGTCACGGAAAATGAAATCGGTGAATCGAGTTCAAATTCTGCCCTAGTCAGTTGTGTTCACTTTTGCACAAAGGCCATTGCCTAAGGCACGAATCCATCTCTTGCCTCTTCCATCTATGGGTTAACTAGTAGCGTTGACTCGATTTTTTAGTCTTTGGTAATTAGCATTCTAAGAAAAACCATGACAAACAGTGGAGAAAGTAACAAAAAAAATCTGTAGTATTTCTCCCAAGAAGTGGTGACATTTTAGAAATAATAAAAAAGGGAATTTGTGGAGAGCCATTATCGCTTATATACTAAAAGAACATAGCATTCATAAAAAAATACACAAAAAAAATTGCGTAACAATATGTTTATCGGTCATGCAACCTGATCTCCCTTTTTTAGGAATGAATTATTCTGATATTATGGTAACAATAGATATTACTCAACGACAGAAAAATGAAAAATATCTCCCGAATAAAACAAAACTGAAAAGTAAATTTCCAATGTACTGTGTTACTACTTCTCTTTACAGTAAAATATAAGCATGATCTGGAAGCATCGATTGTTCGGAGGTGTAAATAATGGAACTGTGTCTCAGATTATTTTAAAGAGTT